TCTATCCCGCTCTCTGTCACGGCGGTGAGTGGACCTTTTGGATTCAAGAGACGGGGATCGGATACGATGACCATCTCCTGCAGTAGATGGCTCTTCGTACTTGTCCTCCCGCCGAGGTCTCCTTGGCCGATCTCGCCTATGCTCAGATTCCTCTGCACCACGGTTGACACTCGGAGAACGTTCGCGATACCGGCGACGACTATCGGAGCGAGATGGAGGAGATCGTGACCTTGATGCCGATCTAGCTCTCGACTTTGATCTCGGGACGGACTGTGGGCGCGGGTCCTCTTGTCCGGGTGTTGGTGTTACACTGAGAAGAGAACATCAATATTAAACGGGCCTGTAATGGGTTGGTTGCATTTGGAACAGTATCCGTACCTTTGCGAGGCTTCAGGCCTCATGGGGGTCGCCGAGGACCGTCCAGGGAAGTTCCGTTGCCGGAGAATGCTGGTGTTGGGAAGACCCTCTCGCATCGCTCGGGGAGCTGCTGGAGCACCTTCAACACCCTGTCCACGAGGCTCGGGATACATGTTAGGGCCAGTCATAAACGGGGGTCCGTTGAAGCCACCAGGACGTGCACCGTGGAAAGGACCGCGCATATAGCCACCTCTGCCAAAGCCGGGTCCCATGGGGCCAGGCATGCCCATCGGGCCACCCGACATGCCTTGTGCGGCGTGGACTTGGTCTAGACTATCGATTGTAGGTATCCCACGCAGCTGGTTATCCTCCTGACCTGGAAGCTCTTGTGTGGAGTCTCTATTGATGGGATCGGGTTCTCCGTTCTCACCCATGTTTTCAGGGGGAGCAGCAGCAGCAGCAGCAGCATCTGCCGTCGAAGCATCTTGAGCAGAAGTCACGTCGCCGCTTGGGGTAGTCTCGTCGGCACCTTCCTTAATGGCTTCAGTACTGAGCTCTCCCGACATGTCCCCAGATACGCCATCCTGAGCATCACTAGGGGGATTATGGTTTGGAAAGTCTGTATAGTTAGCATTAGCAGGATGGTTGGGTTGCATATGCCCTCCAAAACCACCGCGACCGCCGGCAAACCCTCCCCGGCCACGGCCACGGAACGCGCCTCGGCCATGACCGGCATAAGAGCCATTGGGATAATCTTGGCTAGGAAACTGCTGCGGCTGCATTTGAGCAAGAACTCCGTTGGGTTGAGACATATTATAACCGCCAAATCCAGAAGGGCCCCCAAACTGCGGACCCATACCATTTGCGAAAGCATTTGGATTGAATTTATCTTGGCCTCCATTCCACATATTGTTCTGTGAGCCGTCCCATCCCCCGTACATCCCCTGACCCGCGTCGAAACTCATTCCCATGTTCATGCCATTCATGTTCATCCCGTAGCCTCCAAACATACCCTGATTCGCGGCCATCGGGTCCATCGCCATACCAGGCATTCCTAGCGCGCACGTTAGTCCGCCAGTCCAGTATCGCCTCGGGGCAGGTGATGACGGGGTGGATACTCACCCATAGCGTTAGGGAAGTTGAACATTCCATTGTTCATGAATTGGGCCATAGGGTTGAAACCACCGTTGTTGTTCCAAGCCATGTTAGGGAACATCCCAGCGCCCATGCCGAAACCCATACCATTAGGCAGCATGGTCCCCGTTCCGGCACCTTGGGACGCCTCGTCATCGTTGACTTGGTCGGTCTTGGCTTCATCGGCGTCATTGCCTTCACCAGATCCGTCCTGTTCCGCATCCCCGGCATCATTCTGCGTGTCAGCAGGGACACTTGCAGACTGGTCATCCTGCGCGAATGGAATATTAGCCTAGATGCAGGCAATTTGTGTTGGGTGACATACTTGGACCTGCGTCTCTGTAGGTGCTTCGTCACTGACACCTGGTGTGTTCTGCGCATTTACATCTCCGGTGTCCGCTGGATTGGCTGTTTCTGCCGGTGGTGCATCGACAGTCCCACTAAGCGCAGGGATTTCTTCAGAGGCTGGAACTTCGGCGGCGCTCGGCACCGCAGGCGTCTCCAGTTGAGCAGGAGTGCCATCCGCGGTTGTTGCACCATTGGTGGTTGCGGGCGTCGCAGGGGTTGCGGACTGTCGCTCTTTTTCACGCTTCTTCTCTTCGGTACGCAGAAAGGCCTTCAATGTGGTGCGGAGGGCTTTGTTCGGCTTGCACAGATCGGGCGAGATGGGGGTATGCGCGCATACGGGGCAAGTCTCGGGGAGAGAAGCCTGACCTGTCGGGTCCTTGGTTAGAATGCAACGGAAGTATAACACGGAGTCGTCAACAGATGCGTACAATGTTCACAGATCGCTTGGTCGCAGCACGGTAAGCGGAAGGCGTTCACGGCAAGCTTATTGCACATGGCGCATCGCAGCTTGAACGGGATCTCATCTTGAGTGAGAGAGCTGTTTGGATTGGATGGCGGATTAGTTCCCGGGCCAGAGACATGTACGACGAAAGAGCGCAAGGCTGAAATATGACCTACCTGGCGATGTCCATCAAGCCCGAAGGCTGATCTGCGACAGCCATCGGGGATGACGAGGCTAGACCGGAGGGAAAGATAAGTCCAGAAGGAAGATGTCAACGTGCAGAAAAGGGAATAGTAGGCAGCCACACTGGCAAAGACAAAGAACGCGATCTAATTCGCCATCAATAGGAGGTGGCAGCCATTCCTGCTGGCGTCGCTCGGAAATGCAAGCCCGTGAATCGACAATCGGGGTGAATGTCGCGATGGACAATCTGTGCCTGTTTGACCAAATTTGGAGGCCGGAGGCGGGCCGGAGCGGAAGAACCGCCTGTCCGAGCCTTTCCGGCGCATCGCCCCGCCCTTCTGCTCCTCTTTCTCCAGCGCCTGCGTTCGGTGTGTTGTATCTCGGCTGGAAGGTGACATCAATCATCTGGTCTGCTGCTCGGTTGCCCGTTCCGTTACGCTGGGGTTGCTGGCGCTTGGTGCTGGCGCTTGGAAGGAATGCGGATGTGGATGAGATTCTCCCTACGCAACACTTGCTGACCATACTAACTACGGAGGTCCAGCCTCACCATCGTCGTCCAGAACGTGCAGTTTCAGATGAGACTTTGTCATTTGCAGACCACTAATTAACTAAGGTTTAGGACCAGTCATAGGGATATTCAAGGCGGCACGGCACACCGCCAACTGCGGCGACTGGACCCCTGGTTGTCATCCATCGTCCATCCCTGCTGCGCGCCACGAACTCAAGGCAGACGAGTTACCTTGCGACCACTTTGTAGGATAGGATTCCAGATTCCAGAACCCAAGCTGGGTTATGGAAGGGTCAGCACTAGACCGACTCTGGCAAAGGATACATTCCCTAGCTCTACCTCTAATTGCCTACTGGGTAACTGTCAGGGAGAGGCAGATCTGCCTCTCATCTCCGACGGGCAAATCAAGTGGATGCAAAGTACCGCCCAAGGGAAACCAGCGACGCGCTTTCAGATTAGATCAAGTTATTTACTCCCTCACCGATGGAGTACTGCCATTAAATAGCAATAGCACAGAGAAATCCGACGGCGGCGATACCTTTGATGGGTCTCTGCGCGCCAAATCGTCCTTCTCCCCCGATCTCTGGAGCTCTGTTTATCATCATCACGCGTCTTGGTGGGGGATATCGATCAGAGAGATAGATAATATGATGAAAGGGGAAAGGAACAAAGACATGGAACAGGAACACAAGACGAATGATGACATGACTGTCAGAGAACTGACTCACTAGCTCCCGCATTAGAGAGCTACCGTCTACAGGGTCAGGGGGACACCAACAGCCCGACTGAGCAACAAATGATACTGGGGGAGAAAGCAGTAGTATACGATCTGTGGCTTTTGCATCATTGACGCAGACTCGACGGGTGGAATCACGCGCGCCAAAAGCCAAAAACAGAGGGGGGCCAATCAGGGAGCGAACCATTTAAGCAGTGCCTCCGGGCGGGGTGGCGACGAGAGGAGTGGTTCGTTCGCAGCTGAGTTGACACCCCGAAACTTGAGAAGTAAGACTCATCCACGGCCTCACGATGAGGCAGCAGCGCGTCACCGAAGTGATAGACAAGAGGGGGTTGAAATGGCGGGAGTTGCCATAATTTGAGTCCAGTCAGTTGATAGGGCTGTGGGTAAATGGTGGATGATGCCGAATAACAACAAGATCAGAGGAGGAAGATGGCGTAGTCATCGTGATGATGGAGGATGGTTAATTAATTAAAAGTAAAGGATGGGGATGGATGTTGTAGAGGTTGTAGAGGACGAAAGGATGAGTGATTGGAAGGTACCACCCGTCAGGTTAGAGTCCAAGCAGTTTCCGTCCGACCCAGGAAAAGGAAAATGGGAAAAAGGGAAAAAAAAGAAAAATCGAAGAGTGAGCCTGAGGAACGGTATTTTTAGCGCGAGCAGTGGAACAGGCAGGCCAGGGTTAAAAGGGCCGCTGCTGCTGCTCCCCCGGAAGAAAGGGCGCCGGTCCTCTTCGTCTCCTCTCTGGATGCTGGGGCCACCCACGCCACGCACTTCCGTACACGCACTTTTTGCTCTCGGCCAAAATTCATTCAAAAATTACACCAAATTCGTTCTAAAGAAGCTCGGACCATCCGCGCCGCGCGATCGGCACAAACAAGGAAAGCATCCCCAAACAATTTGGTTTCACGGCCACCAGAGTATCTTCTTCATCGCGGAAAGAAGATTGTGGCATTGAATCTCGTCTACATTTTCTATCCTGGGCAGAAATTCCTCCAGACCCTGTATTCCAGTGGTGTGTTATGCCGGCCACGGTATCAAGGTCGATTTAAATCCCTCCATTCCCCAATCTGTTGTTGTCACTCCAACTTTGGCGGCCAAGGTACGAAAAAGACGTTCCCCATATTTATTCCATACTAGGCCGTTTTCCTGTTAGGCGCGCACGCGCATCGCCCATAACGCCTGGATCTCTTCATTAAGAAAAAAAAAGAAAAAGAAAAAGAAAAATATTATAAATTAAAAACAGAAAAAAGAAAAAAGAAAAAAACAAGAAAAAAAATATCCCCACAGCAATGACAGACCAAGACCAATCCTATCGTCCACGATCCCCTGATTTTTCCACCTTCCAGTCAGTTCCCCTCTCACCTACCTTCAACAACCACAACCTCAACCACAACGCGCACTATCAACATCCTCACCACTCCCCGGTTTACCAATTCGGGAATCCTTTCGCCCATCGCGCTTCCTACGACGCCTCACCGTTCTTCACCCCGCAGTATCAACCACCACCTCTACCACAACAACCACCATCGCTTCCTCACCACCCGGTCCCGCAGACCAGGGTTCCTCAGCAATCCTCCTCATATTTCCCTCCCGATCCGGACATGGCTCGTCGTTCGTCGCGTATCGCCCAAGCGGCCGAGGTCGCGCCTCACCCGCCCGTCTCCAAGTACGTCGACCCCGTCGACCCCGTCGACGAAGAGGACTATGTACCTTCACCACCACCTCAACCGCAACCACAACCACAAGAGGAACCCGTCGCAATTATTGAGGAAGAAGAGCCTCCGAAGCCCGCTCCTGCACCCGTCAATGTGGAAGTGAAGACCAAGTTTCCCGTCGCGCGTATAAAGCGCATCATGCAAGCCGATGAAGATGTCGGTAAAGTCGCTCAAGTTACTCCTATCGCAGTGTGTAAGTTGCCACCCTCATCTCAACTGATTATTGCGAAATGTTTTGAATATTAATGCTAATCATAATTGCCTTACAGCCAAAGCTCTCGAACTCTTCATGATTTCCCTCGTCACCAAAGCCGCCCGCGAAGCCAAAGACCGCAACTCGAAACGCGTCACAGCCTCGCATCTCAAACAAGCCGTCGTTAAAGACGAAGTGCTCGACTTCCTCGCTGACATCATCGCCAAGGTTCCTGATCAACCGGCTAGTCGGAAACACGACGACGATAACAGTGATCAGAATGAACAACAACCGAAACGAAAGCGCGGTGGACGTCGTCCGAAAGAAGAGAGTGATTAATTAATGCCCACTACGATTCTTTTTCTCATTTCGCGTGTTTTCTTTGGAACGAACTGGCTTGAATGTCAGCTGGCATGCATTATGTGGTTTGAGGGACTTTTCGTCTGCTTACGCGATGGGTAGCCATTCGATTCGATTCGATATCGATATGGATGGTTCCATCTTTCTTTCTTTTTTATTAACCTTTAGACTGGGTGGACAAGAGCGGGCGCATTCTTGACTTGACTTGAATTACTATCATACTCTTGCTACTCCTTCTGCTACCACCATCTCTCTCTCTCTATCTATCTATCTATGGCGTTTGTGGTAACGGGGGCATGATCAGGTTGGTTGGATGGATGGTTGGGCTTGCATCGCGTGATGTGAATACTATTTGCTTACTTTCTCGATTCTTTATTGTCTATCATTCCATTGGGTATTTTCTTTCCCTAATTGCTTGCTCGCTGGCTTGCTTGCTTGCTTCTCATACTACGTGAAGTGTGACAAGCACTTATCTGTACTGTACGTGTATCATTAATGGCTAGAGTGGATCTGGGAATGGGAGGAAAGAGAAGGGCAAAGCAACCTACCACGTCTCACATGGGCTTAGTTGCGCGTGTACCTATATTTACCTAGTACTATACTCGGACCGAATGTATGATCTGCGCGTAACGAGACGCGTAGATACGAAATACGAAATATTTACCATATGGGATTAGGAGCGTATCAGGTTAAACTGTATAGCAACACTACTATTGTTCCTGACCATCAAGCCAAATATCAATTCAAAAAAGTTCCAGCATAACTTAGCGATATCCTTTCTTACTGGTACTTCGTGTGATACAAGCCAACTGAAGTCACATCACATGACTTCCTCATTGTGAGCAGTCATCACTGGTGTCAATCTGGTTATGGAATTAGGAATTTACAATGACTATGTCCAATCTGTTAAACCTTGGCATTGTAAGATGGGACTCAAGTAGGAAGTATACTATCTAATTGTGTAGTTAGTATCGTGGTTAGTAGGCTAACTGGCAATGCGGGGATAGTAAGTAGTTTCCATAGATGAGTGGTGCGTATATATTGCGGTTCCATCTCCATCCTATATCATACAACTGATAATGGCTAGGAATCACAATCTCAGTAGTAATAATGATAAAATGTTTATAGTAATCATTGTATTATTGTCAAGCCTTCATTATTTACATCATGTAGTAGTCATATTGGTTAGTTGTCATAAATCATTGTCTATAACGGTCTATTACTATAGTATAACTGAACCGCAACGGGTGTTACTGATCTTCGCGGGTCACTATGAGTACCAACTGTGGCAAAAACATGGACTACTTACTACTGTTGTAGCATAGGATGATCGCGTTCTCCGATTGGGAGGAATGTCCAATGTCCATTTCAATTCATCACGATTGTCTACTAATACTACTATAATACTGCTTAAGGAACTCCCTAGGCAGGCAGCTAGCTACGACGTACTATCATGCAAAAAGCTACATCGAGGTAATACTTTCAGACACGCTATAATCACTAGGAATGAGAAATACGAGCAAAATACAATAATGTTTATATATTTTCATCCATACAATCACTCAGTCACCCATAATCGCAGGTCCCGCCCACGACTTTACTAGAAACCCCTATCAACACAGACAGTAGTTGACTATGCCTCAACCGTAGCAGTATCTACAGGACCATCTATTCCAGGATATCCCGCCTCCCCGAATAACGTTCCCCGCGCCTGCACGACAGCCGAGGTTTCTAACAAGAACTCGTAGAGGATGACTACGTTGGTCAGGACATGTCCCAGAGTCGCGGTGCGGGGTTCTTCTTCGACGACTGCTGTGTCGCCTGCGTCATCGTTTGATTCGTCAGTTGCTTGCTCTGCTGTGGTATCGGTGCTGGCCTCGCGAGGAGCATCGTCTACTGGGAATGGCTGTTCTAGACGCTGGCGGAGTTCTTCGGCGGCGGATCTGCGCGCCGTGGAGACGTCGCGAGGCGGTCGGAAGGGAAGATCGCGAGTGGGGGACCCGATGGTGTCTCGACTGGGAGAGGAGGTGGCGGTGCTGGAGAACTCGAGGGGTCGACTTGACCGGCCGCGAGGGGATCCGTAGTCTGCGTCGAGGTTGGATGTTGGGTGTCGGGAGGAGGAGCGTGTTGGAGGTGCAGAGTTACGCTGAGAACGTCCGGACCCTTTGACAGGCTCGTCGTCTTGGTGCAGGAGATCGCGACGCGCGGCGACGAGGATGTCAAAGTCTGGCACGTCCTTGCGCCATTTCTGGATCTTCTGCACGAGCTTCTGAAGTACCGAAGTGAGGGCTGGAGTGTCGGTGTGGGACCAGGATGGCTCTTCGTAGGCTCGCTGGATCTGTTCAATAAGGGTTGTCGAAGGGGTTTCTTCTGAAGATTTGTTCGTTGATGTGCTGTAGATGTACTTGGAAGGGTCCACGAGAAGCCAGCCGTCAAGAGCAATCAGGTGTGATGAGGCGATGCTCCCGAGAACTTCGGTCAACGCCAGGTTCACGATAACACTGTTCGTGAAGAAGTTTTCCAGGCAATTGAGCAGCTCGCGCACAATGGGGTCGTCGTGTCGCAGCTCGAGCGGCAGGCTCTCTTCCGGGTAATCTTCGGCTGGGGGAATGCACAGCCGGGCCTCGAGAATTGCCATTCCGTCCTTGAGGTAGTTATCATAAGATTCATTCAACGTAGGGTCATTAACGGTAGACGTGGCCATGTTCAAAAGCTGTTCCAGCTCGACGTTCAACGCTCCGACAGTCCGTTGTTTGGCATGCTGGCCGGGAACGGTGCGTATCAATGACCGTGCAAAGGTGTGGTGCCGTTGCAGGACGGTGCTCATTACCCGCAATGTCGCCAGAACAGTCTGTCTATTTGTCGACTGAAGCCCAAGGAGAGCCAGATCTCTCAAGTTGAAAAGCGACGGCGAGGGCCGCGCAGCTTCTTCGGAGAAAGCGGCCAAGACATCTAGCGACTTGCGTCGGCTGGCAGACATACCTATGTTCTTTCCGACAGTCGCAGGCTCCGAGTCAGAGGGAGACGCAAGCAAGAAATGAAGAATCCGATGGACCAAGTCTTCTTGGTGGACCGACTCGAGAATACGATACAAGTAGGTAAGCACAGCGGCCGTTGAGCCCCCTTGCACATCGGAAGACTCAAGTAATGACGGGTACCTGCATGCAGTACAGTGAGCAAGCCGCATTTCAGCAACTATACAATCAAACTTACAAGAGTTGTTCCAGAAAGAGAATCTGGAAATGATCCAACAAAGTCCCGTTGACCTCCGCCGACTTGCAATGATCAATAGTATCCTGCCAGAACAACAGATACGACATGAACGAGTCCATAGACATGCCCAGCAGTGGCGGAAGAGCAGTATCTTGTTGCGCGTGATCCGACAGAGCAATGATATGTGGGATATTCTCGTCCGTATTCTCCGGGAAGGTCAAGCTTTGCAACAGATATCAGTCATTACTCCCCATCCTCAGCACGAACCACCTTAATAGCACTCACCTGCCCAACTGACTATACAGCGCACCCAACCCAGTAGCCATAAGGGTAGCAAGGTCACTTTCAATCAACCATCTCTCAAGGTTCTTCGATCTGGAAGCCGTCTCGATCAAATAAAGCAATCCCGTACGAGCGAAATCTCCCGCTCTTCCAGCATGATGCACATACTCCACGAGCAGGTAGAACAACGGAAAGTCATCCTTTCTCATTGCACCCGCAAACTCAGCCCCAGTGTTATTACCGTTACTCTGTTCGCGATCCTGCTCATCAGACCGCGGAGCGAACCACGCAGGCAGGATATTCGGCTGCAGACGAATATTGTTAGCCACGCCGAAAAGAAGCTCGACGAGTCGTCCCTCAACGTCCTCCGAGTGTTTATCCGCACGTCGCACTAAATCCACCAGGGCGCGGGCAAAGAGTCGATTATCGACAACACCATCGACCTCCGAATCGATCAGGGTGTTGAAGAACACGGTCGCGGATCGGAGCATGCCATCGTCGTAGGAAGACAAAGCGAGCTTGGTGACTGTGACGAAGATCTGCGAGGAGGACGCATATGCGAGGCATGGGTGCGGAGCTGGGCCGCGGGATTCGTCGCTCAGCACGGAGATGAGGCGATCAATGCAATTACGCGCGTGGACGGTCGCGGATTGCTCGCCGGTGGAGGAGTTATTGGAGCGCCATATTTGCTAGGTTGAATGAGCGGGGAAGATCACGACGGGGAAACTAGGAGGAGGAAGAAGGGCTAACACACCTGAAGGGTATTGCATGTCCGTTTGAAGGACGCCAATCGCTCTGTGGGAGTGGAGGCCCGGAAGCCTTTAGTAGACAGCGAGCGGGAGCCCCCGATGAGACGAGACCACTGGAGGAATTAGCTGAAGGACGGCGGTAAGGGACAGGACGGGGGAAAGTCGTACAAAGTCCATTGTTCTGTAGGAACAGCATATTACTCCGGAATTGGAGCCGACCCAAGTGGAGTGGAGAGTCCGCGGGGAGGTCGAAGCTGAAGATTAATCTCAAGGCCGGCGATGCAATTGCTCGCCCGCGCAAAAAGGGGTTAGTGCCGCTTGCCATATCAGGCCTAGCTGTGATGCCTTATCAGTTTACCCCTTTCGGGTTAGACTCTTGGGACACCTCCACAAGGATTGCCTATTCCAGAATCGACTATAACTACCACAACGACTATGAGCTACTACCACAACCCATCTCATCATGACCAACAACCACAACCTCATCTAACATTCAATCAAGATCAGGATACCCATCACAAATATATACTATATTCAGTACCCCTGGTTAGCCAGTGGCACCCTTCCAGCTCCATTTCCCACCGCCAATCCCTCGATATACTTCGTCAGAGTGTCATCCAAAACACCACCCACGAGGTACTTGGATAGAACGTGGCCGGCCATCTGACCATGTGAGATAAACCCACATCGGACCACATCTTCCAAGAGCTCGGTGGTTGTGTGTTCCTTGATGGCACGCTTAATGCGTCCTGTTCACATACGTCGCAAACATAGTCAGCATCAAAAGACGGAGCAGGCGGACATATGCGGAAACCAAAGAATCCAGGCTCACATACGTCTCAGCGCCCGATGGTAGGGTTTGTTAATCTCGATGGTCCATTCCTGAATAGAGGAAACTGGATATCGGTTTTTGAGACCCACCTCGTGGCCCAAGCTTCGTACTTTGTACAATGTTGTGTTTCCAAACTCTAGACGGTCCAGACGTTTGTCATCCTTTGTGGGTTGGTCTGTGGCTGAGCTCAGTTAGTTCTGACTTGTCCTTTTGCGGATGTGAAACACTGTATGCAACATGCCTTGTTGGATCTCCGACTGAGAAGACGAGCTCGGCGTCTCGCGACCGAGTTCGACCACTTCAGTCTGAATCACTCCCTCCTTGCTTTCATGGCACGGAAGCCTTGACAAGAGAGTTTCTGGGGTAGCAGAAGTATCGGAATATTCTTCGCTAGAATTCTCGAGATCTTCCTTGGAAGTCTTCTCGCCAGCTTCCGCACGAGCTTCATCGCTTTGCTGGAGGAGCTTTTCGAGGTCATACCTTTCCTCTATGAGCAAGTCAACAAATGCTAATCGTTTTCTATAGCAAGGTTTACCAGGGCATACTGTAGACAATGATTCCCTTCTCGAAACGTGCGTTGGCCGAGTAAGAGAAAAGGAAGAACACATCCACAAACCCGATTAGGCGGATCTTTCCTGGCCATTGTTCACCGTTGATTTTGATTTCCCATGGATGAATATCACTGGTAGAATGGTTAGCAAAGTTACCCTGATTTCGCGCAGCGGCGTAGACATACCAATCGCACTCCAGCGTTTTGTCCTTGACGGACTTGCCGAAAACTCCAAGAACTCGGTGATAGGAAGCCATGCTGAGCTTACAATTAGGGGATATGGGGTTATTCAGGGAGGCGCGCAGAGACTATTGTTATTTGGTTTGCACTCTCCCCCCACCCTTTCCCAGAAAGTGCTAACTACACGATCGGTGCTTGGTCCGAAGTTCGCCGTCAGACTGCAGCTGGAGGGGTTGCGGAATGGAAGGTGGCACTCGCGCGGCTGAGGGTTGCATGAGATAGAAGCTTTCCAGTGACATGTAGCGGCACACCATTGGCTTCAAGACTGCCAATAAGCAGGCTGGATGCCGCTAGGAAGGAAATTGCGACATCAACATGCATACGATGGACGCGTAGTACCAATCTGCGACCCTATTCAGACGGATCTTCGTGGGCAACATGTCCTCGGGGACCTGCCATCGGGGATATGTGGTCCAGCTGAGGCGCACCGCTAATGCACCCGGGTCTGGTTCGGGAGATGTATCAACTCTTACGGCGCTAAATAATCAATACGGCGCTAGCTTACTGGCTGTCAGCATGTCGGATCCTCGGATCAAACATTACACGTTCGGTAGATCGCCGATCGAAGATGAGGGCTAGGCTACGGGCCGTCGGATATCTCCGTCAGTCGACCTGCAAGTGGCGGACAGCATGATGCGGAGATGGTGGGTGCGGTTGGCATGGCCTACAGCTTCGATAAGCCTTTCTTTGTGGATATAACTTGGCAAGATGACTACGGTCTTTCTTGACTCATCATCAGAAAGTGACTTTTGAACTGCCGTTCCCACTTCTACATATCTTGTGAATCTTTGATATCCATCGTCAGCCCCTCCGTTCGCTAAAATCCAGCAAGATGTTCAAGAACAAGCATAAGTTCGAACTACCGTCTTTCAGGCGCGAAAATTCCCCAGACAAGGAGCTCGGTGTATCTATCTTGCCAGCTGCCGACGATAACTCCGTCGTCAACTCTCCAGCAATAAGCCAAGTTACCTCAGCAAATGAACAGCTGGGTAGTCTACGCAATCCGCCGACGGACGCGAGCCTCGTTAGCAACGGCAATGAACCAAGGGAATCGGCGGACGACAAATCGAACGGTTCTACGCCGGAAGCAGAGAAGGTTGTTACCAAAGATCAACTCCTAGGCAGCATACGCGATGCAGCCATGAAATCGAGCCTCGTTATGGGCGCTAAGGAACTGAGAGAATCTGCAAACAGCGAAATGGCCAGGGTAAAAGGTATCGTGACAAAAGAGAATAGCTCCAATGACGAAAAGCTCAGAGGTCTTCTTCATCTTATCCTTAGGTCTAGCACGGAGCCTAGACTTTACAACGATTACTTGGACAAGTCAATGGACGAAGACTCCGATCTTCTTATCAGCTCATCCGCTGGACAAGTAGAAGACAACTCAGTTCCGCTTCGAATGTTTGACTTGGATACCATGAATTTGGTTGATACGGGCTTCTTTGGAGAGGAAGATCAATATTGCATGCTGTCCCATAGTTGGAAGGGTGCAGAAATTGACTATGCGCTTGTCTGCGAAGCCCAACGTGCTGAAGAGGCCCCGGGAGGATTGGCTGGGTACAATGATATGGATGCGGTTCTCACTCTCTGCGACCAGAAGATCAATACAATCGCAGGGAAATTGCGCAAGTTGTTACAGGAGAGACCAGATGCAGGGAAATCAATCCGGAAACTGCTCGTGACGTCTCTCAGGGTGTCCATGCTAGAAAGAGATGTGGTTGATACCAAGCAAAAGCGGACCGTCGAGGATGCAAACAAGAGACAGGCAGATCTGGAGCAAACCAGTTACCAGAAATTGTTAGACTTCCTGAAAGAAGTTAAGAGTTTACCAAGCCTAGCGAAGCAACAAGAAGATGCAGAGAAGAGGGCTAAAAATGCGGCGGAAAAGTACTTCAGCGCGGAGCATGATTACGCATCAGAGAAATCTAGAATCTCAAAATTTCGATCAAATCGCCAATTGTCATATGAGATGGACGATTTGCTAAGGGCTTTGCAGCAGAAGAGGTCGGCACGGAAGCTTCAAGAGTCTATCAGTCGCGCGCGAGAAATTTTTGAGAACAGACCCTTCTCCAAGACGGGTAGACGATATATTTGGCTGGATAACTGCTGTATTAACAAGAGACAGGACGCTGAATTGAGTGAGTCCTTAGCACGCATGGGAGAATGGTACGCAAACGCAGACTTTTGCCTGGTTCACCTGGATACTCCGTGGGACAACCGGGAATGGTTGGATGAGTGGGACCTGTGGTGCAAAAGCAAAGACAATATTGAAGAGGAGGAACCGGATCACTCCGAGGATAGCGACGTGGTCAGTACAACTATGAAGACAAAGCCTCGGTGCCAGCCTGTCTCGTGCTTTGACGAAGTCAAAGAGTGGAAGCCAACATGGGCTACCAGAGGCTGGACACTGCAGGAACTGGTACTCAGCAAAATGACGTTTTACGCCAACGCAGACTGGAAGATGCTGTCGCGGCCGGTTGACAGTTTGGGGTTCTATTATCACTTTTGCCCCTTCATTGATCTTTACACCCAGAACCTCAATTACGTCAACGGCAAGGCACCGAAAGTCGTCAATGATGTATTGAACCATCACCGGGTAAAAAAGGCACTGGAAGAAATGGCAGTCGCGGAGGAAAGAGAGATGAGTGAGAAGAAAAGAATCAGTTCCACCACACCGGGTGAGGCAGAAGAGGTAAGATAAGCATCCGGTAAGGAATACTATATTCTAACTGCGATATAGACAATTGGCGCAGAGAGCATCATCCGCGCTCTGAAGCTCTTTGGGTATGCCGCGCCCAAGAACTTGGATAAGCAAACGGCGAGAGCTCGTATCAGCTACTCTGTCCAACTCGTCGTCGAAGCATTCAAGGACAAGCCAAGCTACGCTGACCCGGATCATGACATTAGAGAGCTGATCTTGAAGATGGTTTCTGAGCGCTATAATGGACTGACACGAGAGAAGGCAGTAAGGCGAACAATCAACCTGCTGCTTGGAGCCCTCGCACGCAAGGCAACCGAGCCCATAAGGAATGATCGTAAAAAAATCGCCGAGTTCAGCAACGTCGAAGGCCTGAGCAGCTGGTGGAATGGCACGGAGAGGAGCCGTTTCTCTGCTCATAGCGTTATGATGCTGGCATCGCATCGACAGTGCACCAAGGCTATTGATAAGGCGTACTCGTTGATGGGTGTCCTTGGAGTGCAGTTCCCAGCGTTCCCAGCCGAGGGCCTTACCAAGGCTTTGTCGCGGCTAATGGATGAAGTGGTGATCAACTCCAACGATGTTTCTGTCTTCAACTGGACTGGCAAGTACAATGGTAGCCCAATACGCGGCCGGTCTTTGTACGCCTCGAACATTGACGCCTTTTACACCGAGTCACGATTCGATGTCAATGGTGAACTCGTCAGAATTTTCCGAAAGGATCGCACCAAAACCCTGACTATCGCCAAAGGTATTACTGACATGCTGCTCAATGCTAGCAACTTCGTCTCAACTTTCAATCAGGACGAAAAAACGGTCAATTTGCTTCTAGAGCTGGTCAAACTCATCAGGAAATATGATAGCCACACACTGAAAAGGCTTCTAGACTTCCCCGAGCTCGTTAAGACACTGAATAATGCTGGCGACTATGCACGGAAAACTAAGTCGGAAGAAGATGCGAAACAGGATGGGATTGTGCAAAAGCCCGATACGCCCCTGACTCCTCAGACCCCCCGGACACCTGAAGCTCCGGGGATTGGGAGGAAGAAGTCATGGGGAGTTAAGCTACCGAACCTTCACAAGGGGAACCTTTTCATGGAAGGTAAAGCAGCTGAGAAGGAAAAGTCAACAGAAAACTCCAAGAAGGCAGAACAATTTGAAGCCGAGATCCAGAATGTTGTCCGCATGGCGCTAGAAAGCGACCCTGCACACAGAGACAACGGAACTTCTGTTGAAAACGATAAATCTCCAGATGAAAGCAATGAATCTGGAGCGCAGGCCAACAAAGTCAGCGAGCGTGACGAGCAGATCATCTGTCCGAACCCCATTGTCGTGAACAGTTCTGGCATCAAGGGTGTATTTGACATTCAGCGCATTGTGGTAACTATGCTGCAGCCGGAAGAGCTTCGTGCGAAGGTCAAAAATGCCGCAAGTGATAAAGAGATGATCGATGGGTGGTGTACCATAAGTACTGGATTTACTCTCACGATGGTGGCCTTCTGCTGTGAGCGAAAGGTCCTTGAGAGGCAACTGGACTTGGTCGATGTGATCGAGCATACCGTCCTCAAAGAAGCTGTCCCGGCCAACACGCACACGCCCGCACGGGGTGATGAAACCGATGCACAGCCAGCAAACCCAAAGGACCAGCAAAATAAGCAATCCAATGGCCAAGATCCAGCGCCGGATACGGCATCTTCTCAGAAAACAGAAAACGCAGACCGCGACAGTCGGCCCAAACTCAAAAACTACGGCTCTTCAGCAGAGCAGAGACGAGTTTCTCGCATGATCGACTTTGTCACAGAAGCCAATCTTCACGCTATAGCCGGAGAATGGGTTCTGGCACGTTTTTCTGGCACGCCAGGGGCGCAATGGTTCCTTTGCCGATTGGAACTGGGAACAGGCAATGAATTCTACGCCCGCCGAATCGCCACAGACCTGTTCAGTTTTTCCAATGCCGTTCCTGAGAAGGGCTTGGTCGAGTTTTGGCACAACTTCATGCACAAAAAGAAATTGGTTATGTGCGATATGCTTGACCATTACCTCGATGCGCAGAAGGCAGGGACGTACGCAACTTGGTTTCACGAGAACCTCAAGGAGAGCTTCTCCTGGGGTGAGTCTAGTGATGATGAAGACGAGACTCAGCAAGGCAGACAAGAGAAGGCAAAACAACCAGATCAGGATGGCACCTTTACATCAGCCGGCAAGGCTTTCAAAATGGTTGGCTGGGGTATCCGGTTCTTCTATGATAAATACTATGCTGGATACTTGGAAGATCGCCTCAATGAAATGGCTTTAGCCAAGATACCGGTGAGTCTCCAC